CGATAATGACGGTGATGATGACGATGATGAGGAGGCGACGGAGGTGGCAGAGGCGGAATCAACCGATGTGGATAAAGAGGAGGAGGAGGAGGAGAAGGAGGCGGCGGAGGGAAGACGAGACGGTGGAGGAGGACAAGGAAGAAGAGGAGGGGATGCCTATATTGGATTATGCTGAGTTGGCCTTGCACGCAAATGGACGGCATGACGCGGGACGGATTTTTCGTTGCGAGTTATATTTCGCACGCGAAATGCATGTGAAGTGCGAGGCAACATGCTGGCCACCACGCTTGCAGACGAGGATCCTGTTGCGCGTGATGGCAGCGCACGACACTTCTTACAAGTCGGTCCTTGGGGCACTCTTACATCTGGTGGCAAGGCCCTTCGCCGTATTGTACTTTCCTTGGGCTTCCGAGGCTCTTGGCTTCTGATGGCCTGCCTATCACCGCTTCGAGGGCCAGAGGGCGGAAGGAGAGGCTGGGGCGGAGGGGGAGGAGGAGGGGGAATGAACACGGAAAGCGAGGGATACCACCCACAGCTCAGACCGATCCCGCCCCGACCTTTTAGATGTGCGCGTTGTTGTTGGTTTCCACTGCGGTGGCCTACAACCGCTCCACAACGATCTCACTGGTTTGGCCCACCCACTCATCACCAGCCGCATCATCTCGGTTTCCGAAGGCGTTTACCTCGTCAGGGCAATATTCTGGTTCTTTTTACCTAACAGCGAAGACTGATAGGTTTCTAGTAGGGTCAAAAGAGAGCATCATGACTCCCCAGGGGGGTCTTGGGCGGGTGCCAGACGGGTGCCGCGGAAAACCGGGGACTTTTTTTTAGCCGACAGTAACGCACCTCGTGGTCTTCGAGTCCCCAGAACTCCATTCCTGGGCATGATTTTGAATGCCCGGAGCCAACTGTAGGCCGCTTCGTGGTCTTCGAGTTCCCAGAACTCCATTCCTGAGCATGATTTTGAAGGCCCGGAGCCAACTGTAGGCCACTTCGTGGCCTTCGAGTTCCCAGAACTCCATTCCCGGGCCACAGTTTGAATGCTGAGGAAGTCTGAGGCTGAGGCTGAGGCAGGTTGAGGCTGAGGCCGAGGCTGAAGGCAGACTGAGGCTGACTGAGGCTGAGGCTGAAGCAGGCTGAGGCTGAGGCAGGAGGCTGAGTCTGAAGCAGGCTGAGGCTGAGGCAGGCTGAGGCTGAGGCTGAGGCAGGCTGAGGCTGATGCAGGCTGAGGCTGAGGCAGCCTGAGGCTGGGGCCGAGGCTGAAGGCAGGAGGCTGAGGCTGAAAGCTGAGGCTGAGGCTGAGGCAGGCTGAGGCTGAGGCTGAGGCAGGCTGATGCTGAGGCAGGCTGAGGCTGAGGCTGAGGCTGATGCAGGCTGAGGCTGAGGCAGGCTGAGGCTGAGGCCGAGGCTGAAGGCAGACTGAGGCTGAGGCTGAAGCAGGCTGAGGCTGAGGCTGAGGCAGGCTGAGGCTGAGGCTGAGGCAGGCTGAGGCTGAGGCTGAGGCCGAGGCCGAGGCTGAAGGCAGACTGAGGCTGAGGCTGAAGCAGGCTGAGGCTGAGGCTGAGGCAGGCTGAGGCTGAGGCTGAGGCAGGCTGATGCTGAGGAGGCTGAGGCTGAGGCTGAGGCTGAGGCTGATGCAGGCTGAGGCTGAGGCAGGCTGAGGCTGAGGCCGAGGCTGAAGGCAGACTGAGGCTGAGGCTGAAGCAGGCTGAGGCTGAGGCTGAGGCAGGCTGAGGCTGAGGCTGAGGCAGGCTGATGCTGAGGCTGAGGCTGAGGCTGAGGCTGAGGCTGATGCAGGCTGAGGCTGCAGGCTGAGGCTGAGGCCGAGGCTGACTGAGGCTGAAGCAGGCTGAGGCTGAGGCTGAGGCTGAGGCTGAGGCTGAAGGCAGGCTGCAGGCTGAGGCTGAGGCGAGGCTGAGGCTGAGGCTGAGGCTGAGGCTGAGGCAGGCTGAGGCTGAGGCTGAGGCAGGCTGATGCTGAGGCTGAGGCTGAGGCTGAGGCTGATGCAGGCTGAGGCTGAGGCAGGCTGAGGCTGAGGCCGAGGCTGAAGGCAGACTGAGGCTGAGGCTGAAGCAGGCTGAGGCTGAGGCTGAGGCAGGCTGAGGCTGAGGCTGAGGCAGGCTGAGGCAGGCTGAGGCTGAGGCTGAGGCTGAGGCTGAGGCAGGCTGAGGCTGAGGCTGAGGCAGGCTGAGGCTGAGGCAGGCTGAGGCTGAGGCAGGCTGAGGCTGGCTGCAGGCTGAGGCTGAGGCGCAGGCTGAGGCTGAGGCAGGCTGGCTGAGGCTGAGGCTGAGGCTGCAGGCTGAGGCTGAGGCTGAGGCTGAGGCAGGAGGCTGCAGGCTGAGGCTGAGGCTGAGGCTGAGGCTGAGGCAGGCTGAGGCTGAGGCAGGCTGAGGCTGAGGCCGAGGCTGAAGGCAGACTGAGGCTGAGGCTGAAGCAGGCTGAGGCTGAGGCTGAGGCAGGCTGAGGCTGAGGCCGAGGCTGAAGGCAGACTGAGGCTGAGGCTGAGGCAGGCTGAGGCTGAGGCTGAGGCAGGCTGAGGCTGAGGCTGAGGCAGGCTGGCTGCTGAGGCTGAGGCTGAGGCTGAGGCTGAGGCTGAGGCTGATGCAGGCTGAGGCTGAGGCAGGCTGAGGCTGAGGCCGAGGCTGAAGGCAGACTGAGGCTGAGGCTGAAGCAGGCCGAGGCCGAGGCTGAGGCAGGCTGATGCTGAAGCAGGCTGAGGCTAAGGCTGAGGCTGATGCAGGCTGAGGCTGAGACAGCCTGAGGCTGGGGCCGAGGCTGAAGGCAGACTGAGGCTGAGGCTGAAGCAGGCTGAGGCTGAGGCTGAGGATGAGGCTGAGGCTAAGGCTGAAGCTGAGGCTGAGGCTGAGGCTGATGCAGGCTGAGGCTGAGGCAGGCTGAGGCCGAGGCTGAAGGCAGGCTGAGGCTGAGGCTGAAGCAGGCTGAGGCTGAGGCTGAGGCAGGCTGAGGCTGAGGCTGAGGCAGGCTGATGCTGAGGCTGAGGCTGAGGCTGAGGCTGAGGCAGGCTGAGGCAGGCTGAGGCTGAGGCAGGCTGAGGCTGAGGCCGAAGCTGAGGGGAGACTGAAGCTGAGGCTGAAGCAGGCTGAGGCTGAAGCAGGCTGAGTCTGAGGCAGGCTGAGGCTGAGGCAGGCTGAGGCTGAGGCTGAGGCTGAGGCTGAAGGCTGAGGCAGGCTGAGGCTGAGGCAGGCTGAGGCCGAGGCCGAGGCTGAAGGCTGGCTGAGGCTGAGGCTGAAGCAGGCTGAGGCTGAGGCAGGCTGAGGCTGAGGCCGAGGCTGATGCAGGCTGAGGCTGAGGCAGGCTGAGGCAGGCTGAGGCTGAAGGCAGACTGAGGCTGAGGCTGAAGCAGGCTGATGCTGCGGCTGAGGCAGGCTGAGGCTGAGGCTGAAGCAGGCTGATGCTGAGGCAGGCTGAGGCTGAGGCTGTGACTGCGACTGCCGTTGCCACTGCGACTGTCATCGCGAATGCGACTGCGACTGCTAGAACAGCAGAATTCTACAACTGGATTCTCATCTGGATTCTACAACTGGATTCTCATCTGAATATTAAGGGGAATGCTTCCAGATATGCTCCTACACATCGCTGTTAGGCTGCTTTGCCGGAATAATTCCATGCTCATCACCAGCATTGTGCTTCCGTTCGCAGCCCCGAGCGGCATTGAAATTCCCGAGGTTGCGCACTCAAGCTCCCAAACGTGACCCTGTGCGTGAGCCACGCTTAAACTGAGAATTGATGAAGACGGGGGGGGGAAGAGGACGACGACGACGAGGACGAAGACGAGGAGGAAGAGCAGGGAAAGGCGGATGCGGAGGAGGAGGAGGAGGAGGAGGAGGAGGAGGAAGAGGACGAGGAGGAAGAGGACGAGGAGGAGGAGGAGGGAGTTGGAAATGCGCGGAAGGAGGGGGATGGGTGCAAACTGAGGAAGAGGGGGGTGACGCGAGGGTCAGTATCCGGGGGCCCCCAGGGTCCCCGGAGGCCTCCTTGGACACCCAGCGCAGAAGCAACATCTTTCATGTTTGGTCGAGCCTCGAGGATCGAGGGCTGGATTAGCGCTTCCGCGAAAAACGGGTTCGCCTGTTCGCCGCGTGGAAAACACACCTTGCTATCGTACCCTTTGCTGCGGCAGCCTGCGACAATTTTGCCGCGGGTTCGGGATATTATAGCATTTCGGAGAATGACGATGGCCGACGAGGAGGAAACAAAACGGAAATTCGGAAGACGCACGTTCTCTGAGACTCCACCCTCGCCCAGGGCCCGTTTCGAGCTGGTCGATGCGATTTGATATCGATTCTGGCCGGCTCGATCAGGTGCGCTTCCAGAATTCAGGTGGTCCGCTGCGGCCCGACGTTTGCGCGGCGTTTTTGTGAATCCTGGCGTGGCCGATCCGATCCGATCACGACCAAGTGCGGCCCGATCCGGCGTTCTTTCGAATCCGATGTTGCCTGCGGAGTATGGACCCAGACATCCGCCCATGTGATTTTTCCTACCATCGGCCCCAGAAGCGCCGTCCGAACTGTTTCTCGTCGCACGGTCCATTCCTGATGGCCCCGGTGCCCGATGCCAGGCACCGCCTGGGCCGAACTGCCGGGAACGCGCTCAGACAGAAGATCGTCAGAGCCCCCGAAGATTTTCCATCTGGGCGTTTGATGTCCCCCCCCCCGCGCCTTTTCCATCTCGCCCCCAACTTTCAGATTTTGCGCCTCTTCTACGCCCATTAGATAGGGTCCGCGTAGATGGGGTTGGAAAATCGAGCCGCATCGTTGATGCGTCGCCCATGCGTTTCGCTCGATGTGGAACCCGATTTTCTCCGCGCTGGTGTTGCCGCAACACCGCCGAAGTCGCCGATACATCGCCGATGGATCGGCAATGCATCAGCGATGCGGCGCGATCTTCGGCCCCCATCCAGTCGGACCTCATCTGAGAGGCCTCGATCCTTGGCGCCCTCCTGGCGCCGCGCAGCCCCCCCCCCCCGTGGCCCGCGCGAGGTGGGAGGCCCTGCGGGCCGAAGGCGCCGCCCTCGAGGACGCGGGCAGCGGCGGGCTGGTCGGGTGCTCGTCTTGGGGGGCCTGTGCTGCGACCCGCCGGACGGACGGGATCACCTCCGAGGGAGAAAAACTTGGCATCGCTCGGACGTATGCATTTGGGGGCGAGGAAAACTGAGGAGAATTCGGATCATCCTTTGGAAAAAGCGCGTACGACACCGAGAACTGCACAGGGAATGGGCGTCCGAGCGATGGCGAGGAGAGCATCATGAACATAAGCCGTTGACGCTCCGCGCGGATTGCTTGGATCGGCGCTGGGCCCCCTGGCGGCGCCTCCGGCGCCGCCACTGGCGCGCTCCGCGCGCCAGGGAGGTGGGGGGGGGTTCTGCGCCACTCCAAGAAATCTGCGATGAGCGTCGGAAGTTAATGTTTATGTGATTTGTTTCTTATGCAGAAGGAGCCTCCCCTGGTGTGTTTTCGGTAGCAGGTCCTGAGAGCCGTGTGTGTCCTGTATCTGGACTGCCCTAGCGTGCGCCAGCGTCTGCTGAGCGATGAGAGAGCGCCGACGTAGGGTTTCGCCTGAGAGTTTCTCACCATCGAATTATGTTCCTGAACCCTGAAACTTGAATTTGCTTACAATTGCAAGCATTGAGGGTGGGCGGTCTTCAAAATGCAGCTATTGTAGCGCCGCGTGTAGTCGCCTCAAATGCTTCCACCAGTTACAAGGATGTCGAAATGTGGCTCTCGCCTCAGCGGTGATCGTTCCCAACGGCTATACTTATTGAAGGCAGTCCCTTTCAAGACCTGGTTTTCGCTTGAGACGTCTTCAGCGTTCATCATCAGAAGTACGACGTCTCCAACGTTCGTTGTCATGAACGGGTGTTGGGCGGATCTTGTTCAAAAACAGTGCTCTCGCTTAAATGGCAGGCCTACGGACTCGTTCCATCGGGTGTTTGCGACGTGAAAGGATGATTTGTGGGGACGTATGATGAGGGGACTTATGGCGGGATGGTGTGTCGCAGGATAGCTGATGCACCATGGTTTTGTTGTAGCTGCAGTCCTCCTCCTCCATCCTCATCCATCCTCCCGGGCAAAAACCTCATCATTGGCCGAAGTCCGCTTCGGCAGACGTCCTCTTCGACAGGCGCCCGCTTCGGCAGAAACCCGCGTCGTCAGACGCCCGCTTCGGCTGCTGTTTAGTGCTCGTTTGGAAGACACCATGCGCGTCGTCAACGCCGCATTGCGGCGCGCAGGATAGGGGCTCAATCGTGGTCAATCCCGTTGGGCCACTAATCTCGCAGGCCTAGAGGTTGACACCAACACCCAGATCGGCGGTGTGTCTCCACCGAGATCTCGGTGATGGTGGTAATACTCTGGCTTCCAGGGTGGCCGAACTACTGCCACCAACACCGAAATCTAGGATCATCTTCCCCATGTGGAGGCAACCCCCTGTTTTGGTGTTGGTGCCCATATCTACGCCTCCAAGCCTGGAGCTCCACCCAGACAAGACTCATACCTTGAGTAATGCTACGCTGCGCTCTGGGAGACGAAAAAAAAACTTGTTCTGCGAACGTCGGTGACATGAGCATCGAACTTGATCCTCTGTCGGGATCTTGGAAAGTTCTGGGGCGCAAGATGTCGTTTACCAACGTGCAGGAGACGTAGATCGATCACACACAAGTTCGACGGCATGGGAACATCTTCATCTTCTTTGGGATGAACTCATTGACATTCATCTTGGAATCGATTCGCGTACCCGCTTCTCGAGAGCACGGTGCCTTCGACTTCGTTGCCGCATGGCCGCGAGGCATGGGTTCTAGCAGAGCCGCATGAAGAGAAAGTGCGGCGAACTCAGACGGATGTTCCGAATGGTCAGAAGCAAAGACTTGGCATCGCCCGGACGTGCGCATTGTTCTCGGCGAGGACCATCGAGGAGCATCTTTGATCAGCGAGCGAAATAAGCACGCACGACAACGAAACATGCACGTGGAATGGACGTTCGAGCGATGGCGGGAAGATGGCTGGGCGCCGTGGGGAATGCACATCGGTCATCGAGAACAAACAAGAGTGCCTAACCCTATTAACAGTGAAGACGTGGCCTCACTTACTTCTCCGCCTTTTCATTTGGGGGGGTTATATCTGGGCGGTTTGGTTCGATACACCTGCAGAAAAGATCCCCTATCCCCAATGCACTAGGACCTCCTAACTTAGGTCCTGTCCCAAACGGTTGGGGGTATCGGGAACTGCGTGACCTGAAGTGCCAGGGCCGAGGCCCCCCCGCGCCGTCCTGTCGGGCCCGCCTCCCCGCGTCCGATATGGCAGCGCGCTCGCGCGCGGCGCGCTCGCTGCGCGCTCGCCCTGCGCCGCAGACGTCCACCTCGGCAGGTTCTCTTTTCGGCGGCGAACGAGGGGGGAGAAAGTTTCGGCTTCGAAGTGTTCAGCTGTTTTCGGGCGTTTTCCCGGCAGGGAGTGGACGTCAGGCCGCTCTGCCCTGTTCTGCTCTGCTCCCTACGGTTTTCCACCCACGGGATGCGTTCCAGCGTGTGCGCCTCGCCGAGAGCGTTTTGGTGGTGCTTGGATCGTCCCGGGCGGCCGCCAGAGACCCGATCCATGACCCAAAAACCAGATTTGTTGGCGCGCCCGGGGGAATCAGGAGGAGACGGCTTTCTCAGGAGGCGGCTGGCCTTCTCAGGAGCCCTCGCACCGTCCTAGAATTGTTTGTTGTGTCTTCGGAGAAGGGCTCCTCCTTCTCATCCCCCCCTCGCTAGCCGCCGATGTTTGGCGGGCGTCCGCTTCGGCACGTCCACCCTTGCCGAAGCGGCCCCACCCCCCAACCTCCGATTCACAAGTATTCTCCGCGGCGGCCCCAGACTCGTCGAAAGGGCGGGTTGGCCGTTTCGGGTTCAGGAGGACGGGGGCGCAAAGAGGTCCGCGCGGGATATCGGTTTCCCGGGCAGTGGATCATGTGCACAGATTCCAGCATCGCGCGGGTCCTCAGGCGGGGGCTGTGTATCGCGAGGGGGATGAAGTATATTGTAGTCATACAGCGCTTGACGGGGTACTACTGTAGTGCACTCATCAGCCTCGCTTGGAGTGGCTCCCGCATGGTGGTGGTTTCATGAAGGTTCCCACGATGACGATGGCGATGACGATTGCCATCGTCATCGTCATCGAACCTTCTTGAGTTCTGGGGCGGGACACGCAGGGCCTTGCCCAACAGGTGGGCGCATGTTGGGCTCGGTGCGTCGGGGGGGATCCCGCTGCCTCTTTGCAACAGGTGAAACTGACAAATGTACAGTCCAGACGCTGAGATAAGGACAAGTTCCCTCCTCCTCCTCCTCCTCCTCCTCCTCCTCCTCTTGCTCCTCCTCCTCTCAAGCCATTTCGCCCCGAGCGCATTTTGCATTTTCTCGGGGTGATTCGCCTCACCTCCACGTGGTGCTTGAGGGGCACCTGTCTTGCGATCGTTCGGCCGCAGGATCAGGTTGGCAAAGAGGGCGATGGGTAAGGGCAAGAAGGCGGCCGCAGCAGCCGCTGACACCCAGGATCCTTCTCTCTGGACCAAGTGCAAGAGTTGTGGTAAGTGTGAGTGGAACAACGTGCTCCAGCAGCGCGGGTACTGGTGCAAGTGCGGCAAGCAGGTCGAGCTCTTCCGCCCCAGCCCGAAGAAGGGGGACGGCAACAACCAGCTTGCGCTTCGGTCCGACAACGGCGGAGGCGGAGCAGCACCAGCACCGTCAGCGGCGTCCTCGGAGCTCGTGGCGTACCAGCAGGCGCTGGCAGTCACCACGGACCTGGGGATGCGCACGCTGCTCGAGGCCCAGATCTGCAAGCGCCAACAGGTCGCGGCGGCGGAGTCCACGGTCAGCCCCGGGGTGTCCTTGCAGAAGGCGTCGGCGGCGGTGCGACACGCTGGAGTCAAGCACGACCAGGCAGTGGCAGCGCTCATCAAGGCCGGGGCCGTTTTGGCCCGGGCCCAGCAGTGTGAGCAGGCGGCAGCGCTCACCATGGCCAGGGCCGAGCAGGCCAAGAAGATAGCGGTGAAGGCGTTGGCGACTCAGGACGGCTTGCTGACCGAGTCTGCCGCCGCCGCAGCCGCTGACGCGGAGGAGGCGCACCTCTTCCGAGTCTCGTGGGACGAGGCCTTCTTCGAGTCCGTCGACCAGCTGGAGTGCGAGGGCCGCGAGAAGGAGATCCGCGCCAAGCTCAGGCAGTTTTTGGCGAGAACGAAGACGCACCTCGCGCCCAAGTCAGACGAGGTGAAGAAGTGGCTTGCGGAGCTCAAGGCGGTCCAGCAGGCGATCGAGAGTCGCATGGCCAAGAAACGTCGCGGAACGGCAGCGGCGGCAACAACGGCGGCGGCCATGGGGGCGGCCGCGTCGCCCGCCGTGGCCGAGCCACCCGGCCCCGAGGCAGGGGTGGCGGCCGAGGCTGGGGTGCAGGCGGCCGCCCAGGCCCAGCGCATCAGCGAGACCAAGAAGGCAGCAGCGGAGGCGGCAGCGGCGGCAGCGGCCAATGCAGCAGGCAAAGGTGTGCCTGCGTCCGCGCCGACGGCGTGATCGCCGCCTGAGGGGACCAGCGCCCAGCCGCAGTCTCAGCTGACTGCGCCGCGCTCGTCCTCTCCCGATTCGGGGGCGACTTCAGCTTCACCATATGAGACGCGCCTTTTTTTTTTTGCCAATGTCACGGCTATGGGCAAGAAGGCGTGGGGTTTTCTCACAGGTGCTAGGTTGAGGTCTTTAAGTTATCTTGCAGTTTGTGAGACTCATGTCGAGTCTGCCGACTCACTCGCGCCTTGGCTGGATCCGGCCAGCAAGGCGCACCTCAAGCTTTTTGCGAACCCCGCTCGAGCCACAGGCAAGGCCACCACTCTGAAGGGGCAAGCCCGTGCGAACGAGGGGGGGGGGGGAGTGGATTTTAGCTCGCAAGCACCTCCAGGTGCACTCCCTTGCTTCCTCTGAGGCGATATGGAGCGATCTCACTGCCGACGGCTCCAGCGCCTTAGATGGGTTTACTGCAGTAGTCTGCCACCAGAAAGGCTTCTCATTCATTCTCATTGCGTTCTACGGTCTTTGCGAGGAAGGCTTTGCGGGCAGGAACCTTCAGCGTTTCACGCGCCTCGGAGCCCTGCTCCTCCAATGTCGGCTCCCGTGGATCGTGGCGGGCGATTTGAACTTGCCTGCTGCTACTCTGCAACGAGCTGGGTTCTTGGAGAGAGTGGGAGGTGTCGTCTGTCAGGCACCCCTCGCATGCACGTGTGCGCTCGGCGGCGGCACTCATATCGATTACATCGTCGCCAGCGCCTCTAGCGTCCCATATATCATCTCTGTCGAAGGGTGCCTTGACGCCCCGTGGAGGCCCCACTGCGGGCTTATCGTTCGGTTGAGGTCCTCCGCCCAGCAGCTGCTTTGTCGAGAGCTCAAAATGGCGCGGAAGCTTCCGCAGGTCCCGAGGCCGAAAGCCATGCCCGTGCCAGGGTCGAAGTCTAGTAAGAGCAAAGCCGCGGCCAACGAGCGACGGCTGGCTGCCAGGGCTTTTGCCGATGAGCAATACGACGAGCTGTATGGTGACCTGCACGAGCAGGGCTTGCAAGTCAGTCAGTCTGCGCACTCCCGAGCGCCTGCCGCTGGTGGAGCTGAGAGTGGCGACGGCGATGGGGAGAGTTTTGGCGCTCCCCTGTCTTTGTCCTCCCTCCTGGGTCCTCCACCTGGGGCTCGCGCCCCGAGCGAAGATGATGATCTCTTCCCCGCAGTCGGAGCGGCTGCTGATGAGCCCCATGAGCCCGCGGATGATAATCAAGAGCCCCCAGCCCCCGTAAGTGCAGACAGTCAGGAGGATAGCGCCCCCAGGGATCTAGTCTCCTCTCCTCCTCTCCCTCCCCCGCCTGGCTTCCGCATCTCTCCAGAGACGTGGGCCGCGGCTAAGCAGGAGGTGGGCTACATACCTGTCCGTGACTGCGGCAGTGTCTGGCCAGTCATTCGAGATGCAGCCGCGTTTGCTGCAGGTGGAGGGCGTATCTTGGGTGTCAGTGCGCATTACGAGCAATGGGTTTCTACTGTCGAAGCCGCTATTCAGGAACATCATGGGCTTTCTCCGGATGGACGATCCAGGGGACATGGTCAGATTTTTCAGGAGGCCCAGGTTCACGTTTTGGATCAAGTGCGCCAGGAACCGCTGCATGGTATGGTTGCGTGTTGGTGGGGTCGCTTTTACACCGTCTTGCGCAATCTCCATCATATTCTTACCAAATCTAATGGTCGGCTTCAGCGCAGTCGCCCTGCGCGTGCGCGTAAAGATCTTGCGCAAGACATCACCGACAGCGTGCACTTTCCTCTTGCGAGCCTGGACCCCGCGGATGGAGCACGGTCCCTCTGGCAAACTTATCCCATGAGCATCGACAAGGTGCCTATTGCCAAGCTTTATCACCTAGCCTCTGTTGCTAAGCGAGTTGCTGGTCGTGCCAGGCGGAGGGGGTTTCAATCATCCTTGGAAGAGTTTCGGGCCTTGGTCCCGTCGGCTCCCGCTGTTGGTGTTTTGCACGAGTCCCTCTGCACCCCCCCCCCCCCCCTCCGTTCGAGCTTACTTCGGAGGGGAAGGGGGGGTTATTTTTCACACCAGGGATATCGTCGACCTCAAGGCTAGGAAATGGCACAAACATTGGATCCCGTCAGAAGTGGATCTCTGCGAGGTATCAGCCCTTTTTGCCGAGATCCAGGCGGCCCGCGACGACGAGCAGCTGCCGCCTCTCACGCCAGGGCGAGTCCTCAGAGCCACCACGCTCATGAAGGCTCGGGCTGGCCAGGGTGTCGACCAGATGTCGCCAGTCGATATCCGGCGGCTCCCCGACGAGGGGATCGAGCAGCTCACTTCTCCTTTTGAGGCCTGTGAGGCCCAGCTGACATGGCCTTGGCAGGTGCTGATGGTCCTAGGTCGGCTACTGCCGAAGAAGTCGGGAGGGGACAGGGTGATCGGGCTTTTGGCAATGCTCACTAGAGTGTGGTCACTGGCCCGTGAAGAAGACGTCCGCTCCTGGTCTTCCTCGGCGGAGCCCGCGTGGGACGCGGCCGTCCGAGGTAACTCTGCGCTTCGCGAAGCATTCCTCCGTGCGCTTCATGACGAAGCATATTTCAAGCTCGGCACGGACAACGGCCATGGGCTCCTTGACGTGGAGGGTTTTACGAATCCATTGGGTGGGCTGTTTTGGTGCGTGCTGCTTTGAAGCTGAACTTCCCCCCGACGGTTCTGGCCCTTGAACTTCAAAACTGTATCTGCCCAAGGACCCTTGGCCAAGATGGTAGTTTCTCTCAGGCTTTTCAACCTTCGCGAAGTATCGTGCAAGGATTACGATGCGGCACCCGCTTTGCACGTTGCATGGTACATTTTATTCTCCAGCAAATTTCGACGGCCCACGTGGGCATGTCGATGCGGATCTGGATTGACGATCTTTCTCAACGGGTCCTTGGGTCACGTCGCACTGTCAGAGCTCATTGTTTCGCGTTCTTCGGGATGCATGCAACAAGCTCGGCGAGGTTGGTCTCAAGGCGTCGCCTAAAAGTGTGCTGATGTGTTCCAGACCCGCAGACGGGCGTTTTGTCTCACGGCAGCTGCAGAAGGTAGGCATCAGTGTATCTGCTGCACGGCAGGCCCCGTATCTCGGCGTGGACCTTGGGAACGGTCGGCCAGCTAGGCAGGTGCGATACAAGCGGCAGGCAAAAGCCAGGGGTATGAATGCCAAGATTCGACGTTTTGCCCGTGCGTCCAAACTATACCTTGTGACAGGCCGGCTAGAGAGAGTTGGCGCCCAGGCTGCATGATCGTACGGCCACCAAGTGCACGGAGCGTTTGGATGTTATCGCCAGCAGTTTCGTCGTCTTGGGGCCTCTTTGGGTTCTAAGGCCAAAGGGAGATGCCTCACCACTCTTCTCGATCTTAAAGTTCCAGGGCAAGATCCAGGAGTTAAGTTTCCTAGAGATGCTGTTCGTGTATGGCTGTCTGTCTGGTTCAGTACTCCAGCTATTCGGCCTATCGTTGATTTGGTGTGGCCCCGTATCGTCGAACAACTTCGTAGCATATCGCCATCGCAGGTTTCTCGGCAGATCAGGGGGCCCATAGCGGCCATTATTGGATACCTCCTGGAGGCTGGTTGGGACCCGCAGGCGCCGAACCTATGGGGCACCCCTGATTTCGCGTGGAGGTTTTCGGAGTCCGACTTCTGGGGCTTTGAGGGCTACTCAGACATTCTTGACGATGTTGAACCCGCATTTCAAGCTAGGTGCTGGTCTCGCGCGTCTATTCACTATTGCGGGGAGGGGATGGCCGACGGTGTCGGCAATTATAGCTACCGTAAGTTCATCCAGGGTCTCCGCTTGTGCAAGAACGGCCATAGGCTCGCGGAGGTCATGGTCAACATAGCTACAGGGGGTTTCTGGCCACGGCAGCGAGTCGCCGACGAGACCAGAACCAAGATAGATGTTCAATGCCATCGGTGCCGCGACGGTGCTGAGACAGCGTTTCACCGCTTCTGGACTTGCGCGTGCAATAGGAGTGCGAAGGCCTTTGTCGATTCCGACTACCTGGCCCCGCGCGCTCAGACGTTGCACGAGAGCGAGGCTTGCGATTGGCTCAGAGGCATGATCCCGAAGGCTTTGACGGCTATCCCCCCACCTTCGGACGTGCCCTCTTGGACTTCCTTCAATGGTACTAATGACGAGCAGTTGCATGGTTCCTTTTTGGGCCGTGGGCGTGAAGATAGACCGCTTGTGGTTTTCGGTGATGCCAGTGGCGGGCCTGATGCGCGCGAACCTCGCTTTCGTCGCGTCGGCATCGCAGTCGCCAATATGAGCTCCTACAGTCCCCCAAGCGTACGCTCTGCTATCCTTGGACCTCTTCCTGGGCGTAGGCAACCAGTACCTCGCGGGGAACTGTGCGGGCTCCTTTATGGCCATTACGTACAGTACGGGATCCCTGATCTACGTTGCAGATAACTCTGCCGTCGCCGACGGATGGCATGCTGGGCTCTACCTAGAACCATCGGGGGACAACATGGGGATATGGGACAGGATCAGGAAGCAGCTCAGAGACCAGGACCGTGACACGTCACAGATTGTGGTTCTCCAGGTTGCATCCCATTTGACGGCAGAAGAGGAATTCGAAAAGAAAGTACCTCTGTTTCTCACGGTTGGCAACACGGTGGCGGACGTACTGGCTGGAGAGGCCGCGAAGTCCGCTCGACTCCCCGAGGCTCTGCGAGCGAAGGTCTGGACGGTGGAAAAAGACACCCCGTTCCTCAGGCGTCGCCTCCTCCGCGCGGGCCTTGAGGCCCCCAACGCTGCAGCTGCTTCGAAGCCCCCCACCTCGAGGAGTTCGACACAGGCGGGGCCTTCTCTTCCTCCTCCTCCTCCCCCTCCGCCATCAGTCAATGTTGTCACTGTGTTCGAGACGGACCACGCTCTGGACGAGAGCGGGAAGAGGTCCCGTCGTTGTCGGGGATCTGCCATTGACGCGGCCTCGTTCAGGTGGCGTCGGTCCCCGTGCTTTCTGCTCACTCCTGGGGATGCTCATGTTTTCCACCTCCCTGTCGGGCAGCACTTGCATATAGGTGGGGGCTGGGTGCATGACACACATCCTCTGACATTGCATAGCATCCTCGGCATATGG